CAACAAAAATAAACAACTCCATCAAAAAGTGGGCAGAAGAGCTAAAAAGACACTTCTTCAAAGAGCAAATGCAGATGGCCAAGAAGCATATAAAAAATGTTCAACATCACTTGTAATAAGGGAGATGCCAATTAAAACCACAATGAGATGCCACCTCACCCCAGTGAGAATGGCACATCTTCCAACAACTAGCAACAACAAATGTTGGTGAGGATTTGGAGAAAAAGGAATTGCACTGCTGGTGAGAATGCAAACTAGTACAACCATTATGGAAAACTGCATTTTTTCTGTTTTAAGTTTATACACACACACACACACACACACACACACACACACACATCATTGTTCTTTTTGTGCATTTTTTTAAATCTCAGTTGTAATCCATGGGCTTCCCACCAACAATCACCCATGTGCCATCACCACAGTCCAATGCATTCTTCCCACCCCAGTTCCAATCTCATTCCCCCTCCCACTCCCATAAAAGGTCTCTGGTTTATAGTTGTTCATTGTTTTCATTTTTACTTTATTACACTTGTTTCTCTCTCTCTTTTTTCCCCCTGATCCTTTACGCTCCTGATATGAGTGAAATCATCTGGTATTTTTATTTTTCTTTCTGGCTTATTTCACTAAGCACGATCCCATCCGATTCCATCCATGTTGCTGCAAAAGGCAAGAGCATATCTTTTTTGGTTGCTGAGTAATATTCTATTGGGTATATATACCACATCTTTTTAATCCAGTCATCTATTTTTGGGCATTAGATTTGATTCTGCATCTTGCCTTTTGTACAATAAACATGGGGGTGCAGGTTTCTTTTTAAATCAATGTTTTTGTGTCCTTTGGGTATATACCTAGGAGTGGGATTCCTAGGTCATATGAAAGCTCCATTTTTTTGCTCTTTGAGAAAGCTCCAAACAGCTTTCCATAATGATTGTATCAGTGTGCATTCAAATCAACAGTATAGGAGGGTTCCTTTTTCTCTACATCCTCGTTGACATTTGTTGTTGCTAGTTGTTTGAAGATGTGCCATTCTCACTGGTGTGAGGTGGTATCTCATTGTGGTTTTAATTGGCATTTCCCTTATTACAAGTGATGATGAACATTTTTTCAAATACCCGCTGGCCGTCTGTATTTTGGATTTTAAAACACTGTTGCCTTAAAATTGTATTTATCTTGACTACTGAGTTTTTGGGCATCTTCACATTTTATTCCAGAGTTAAGTGGGTCATTGCCTCATCCTTAGTCCAGATTAGGAGAAGTAAGAAAGATGGCCCAAATTCTAGCAGCACTTTGGCATTTCCAAGACACCCCACCACATACAGTCTCATTGAATCTTCATTGTCACAGCTTGAAATAGTTTCCCAAAGGAAACACGTTGTAAAGCTGAATGAATATGTCAAAGTTTCAGTTTAGTGTAAGATCCTTTACTTTCACTTACAGCAAGGCTCTTCACTGGAGGTGTTGAGGTCAAAACTCTGCATCAAACAAGAAAAAGCAATTTGAGGAAGAAATATAGCAAATTCTGTTAGGAAGTATTTAAGTTTTCTGGTCCATCCTGGGTGTGAGGGTAAAGAATTCCAAGTGAACATTGAGAAGAAAAATGTAATATTGGGAAGAAAGCAAAAAGGGATGAGATAAGCACCAAATAACCATGAGGAAAATCCTGGTTCCTGAGAGCCAGCAGACTGCATGCCTGAGTTATGCCACCCCAGTCCTGAGGAGTGGGAGGGAGGTTTATTTTCCCCGCAACAGTCTTCATCCAGGGTTTCTCAGGGGGTGTTTGGTAAGTGGACAAAGTAGACTCTGGAAGCCAAAGAAAGCCCCCAAGTGAAGTGTCCGGTGGGTTCTACAGGCAGAGCAGGCAAACATTCAGGGAAAGCGACTGTTTGGACAGGGCAAAGCAGCCTTTGTTCCAAGAGACTTTAAAGGAGAGTAGGATGAACATCAGAAGAGGAACACAGCCAGAGGCTCCTTTGTGGACACACACAGCCACACGCCTTACTACCACACGTGCATTAGCTCCCATTTTATCTGTATTCCACTGCAGTCTGACCATCGGTGACTCTGAACAGTGAAAAAAAAAAAGGGGTCTGCCAAGCTGCTATACATTGGTTTTGGGGTGGAGCCCAGGTTTGGCCTTCAGGAGGAGGGGTGGAGGGGTGCTCAGGGGAATGGACTGTGAGGCACCGTGGTGGTTTGGTCCCAGAGAGGGGCTGGAAACCTTCCCTGAAAAATAATTGAGTGGAGACATCTTTACTGATTAGGTAAATCCCAAATAATCCTGGCTGATGAAGACAGATCTGGACCCTTAACAAACTTAGGGGTCAGAGACCTTGTGGTGGGGGGGGGGCGTGTCCTAGCCTGGAGGCTGGCAGATTTGTCTCAGACAAGTAGGTGGGGGAGGGAGTCAGAGGAGACTGCTGGGGTGTGGAGGAGGTCTCCAAGTGTTGGCAGCCTCCCATGCACTGGGCATTTTCAGAGGCGAGACCCGGGGCCCTGGACTGGGTAATAGGGCACTAGTTTGCTCTTTCCTTTCAAATCTCCCACATGACTAGGGGCCCTTCCCCCAAAGTTGCTGACACTGAGTGAAACATTTTGCCCAGTGCCGGGTGGGAGCTCTGACCCTAGTATTAGCTGAGAGGGGGAGAGGAGTGAGAAGAAGATGGTGGCATTGACCAGATCAGGGGAGGTGGGAGGAAGGGTGGAGACATGCGCTTGCCGCACTGCCTGGATGTGAAAAGGAGGTCCCCAGAGTTCTGTGCTTGCTTTGCGCTTGGTGGGTCTCTTCCCGCAGGGAAAGCCTGAGCAGGCCTTGGGAATTCTGTGCTGGAATTGGGCGTCCTGTAGTAGCGCTCCTTTTCTTAAACTCTGTGCCCTTTTCGAAGTCCAATTCTGGCTCCTTTACTTAGTTCTCTCTCTAGCTCTCTTTCTTTGCTTTTCCGATTTCTCTCTGTTTCTAGTGCAAGCGGGCTAATAAGCCTCCATTTCTCTCATCTACAAAATGGGTTTTGTGAGGCTTTTACAAGGGTGTTGGAAATGGGTGTGTGACTGGCTCTGTCCAGAGGCACCCTGTCGGACTTTTCTGGCTGGTCCTTTGCTACCTGTGGGTCCTTCAACACCAACTTGGGTCTGTCATCTCAGGGATCTCTTGCACCCCTTGGTAGAGACCAGGGGAGGGAGACCCCAAGACTATGGCCCAGTTGAGGGTCTCTGTCGGCACCCCGGATGATACAGCGCTGGAGCCGGCCAGCCTGGAGCCTGCCAGCCCTGCAGCCACCCTTAGATGCATCTCAGTCGAGCCGCCCAAGGGACGGTTTCCAGCTTGCCTGCAACAATTGGGTCTGCAAGGAAAGATCCCTGAGTGTCCTATTTAAACATGGCCCCAAATTCTGATTTAAAAACAACTACCCTGCAACTAAAGAGTCAAGAGTAGCAAAGTCCTATACACCCAATACCTTCCTCTGAACCTGGAGATAAATTTATGGGAAAATTCCTTACCCTTAATAACATAAACAAGACAGGCAAACAAACAAAACAACAAACAGACCCCAGAGTCTAAAGCCACCCCTTCCCACCCTTTGAATTGGAGATTCAAAGGACAATTATCTCAAAGGAAAGTTCTTGTTTTGCTAATCCTGGGGAACAGCTTGCTAGGGAGATTTGGGTCTTCCTTTAATAATGGAAAGTTAATGCGCAGACCCTTGTAATTATCTTCTTGGGAAACCCCTCCATAATCTATGTTTAGCTAAGGACCCACTGGAAGTCTCAGCGGGAGACCCACTTTCATGATTGGTTCGGGCTCCTATTCCTCCAGGTGCGTCAGGAGCACACCACTTACCTGAGGGGCCCAGAGTAGCCACTTCGCCTCCTGCCTCTTTTGCTCCCTAGGTGGGGCTGCAGGGGTTTCCCGACTTTTATGTTTGGGAAGTTTGTGCTCAGCGTTTTCAGCGATTCGGGTTAGGTGGGCTCAAATTTTCAGCACGTGAGAGAGGACTGGCACATCAGTGCCAACTTTAACAAATATGGGGGTTTTACAAGAAAATCAGATTTTCTTTCAATAACCATAAACTTCATAATAAATTGTTAGCGTCTTTGAAGACAGGAGAGTATACAGACCAAGTTTACAATTTACTCCCTCCGCTCGCCCCTTTTTAGGGCCTCCTGGTTAATACTGGTACTGGCTTAGCTTCTAAAAGTATCCATTGTTTATCTGCAGCTCAAATTTCATTAGTTCTCCTGTATTTCCCCCCTCCCTCCTTCCCTCCCTTCCTACCTTCCTTCTTTTTGTTTTCTGAGTAAACTTGTACCTAGTGTCCTGCTGCTTTGCTTTCTACAATTCTCCCTGCAGGTGTGAGTCTTTGTAGCCTCCCCTCCCCCTCCCCCACCCCTCTTTGCCCAGCCATTACAACACCACCCTGATGGATTTGACTGGAGGTGGAGAGGGCAAGGATAAAAGAAATGTTTCCCACTCCTTTCCTTTGGAGATTTTCCTTTTCGGCTTTGTGGTAGAGTTGGAAAACTGGAAGACTTGTGTAGGACTGGAAATGGGGTCCTAGATTTTAAAGGATGACTGAGTCCTAGGAGGGAGGCCTCAGCTGCGATTGGGGCTCCACTCAGAGAATCTGGAAGGGAAGGGAGGAGAAGGCAAGGGGAGGGAAAGACTTTAGGCTTTTGGAGGGTCAGGCAGACAGCAGACACATTGTCCCCTCCCTACTTCCCTCCACCCCACATCCAGAAGGGGGGGAGGGATTGGGCAGGGGGACAGCTGGAGAGGAGAGAGGAGGTGATTGAGGGGACTGCAGCTGGGAGGGCGGCGACCGCAGGGAGGGGAACTGGCGGCGTCCCCGTGTTGCGGGTCCGAAGCGATGACGCCTCCGAGCCCCCGCTGATTGGAGCCCTCTTGGACTTCTGAGCCCGACGGGGGCCCCGTTCTATAAAGCATCCTCTGTGCTGCGCCCCTCTGCAAAGGTGATCCAGGGAAGGTCAAGCCTTTTCAAGCCATGACTGGTCGGGACGCGCTTTCCGACGGGCGCGCCAGAGATACGGCGCTAGTGCCGGGAGGTTCTGCCACAAGCCAGCGCCCCCGGAGCTTTGCTATTACTGACCTGCTGGGCCTGGAGGCGGAGCTGCCAGCGCCTGCAGATCCCGTGCCAGGATCAGACTGCGAAGGCCCGGCAGTAGCACCTTGTAAGGGACCTGGGCTTGGCGGCTCCTGCCTGGCGCATGGGGCCCTCCCACTGGGGTTCGGTCTCTTCTGCGGCTTCAGTACTCAGCCTCCATCCGTCGCTCGTGCTCCCTGCTTGCTCCTAGCAGACCTCCCATTCCTGCCGTCCAGAGGGCCTGAACCCTCTGCTTCGAAAGTCTCAGGCTGCTCACCACCCCTTCTCCGCCCGCAGAAGCACAGCGAGAGCGTCTCGACGTCAGGTAATCAGGCCAGCTGGTCATGCTCCTGCAAGGGTTCCTCAGGCTTGAAGCGAGTCATGGGTAACAAACCTTTGTCCCACTGAGCCCCAACCCCAGCATCCCAGATCTAAGGGAATCAAAATTCCAGAGGGTGAGTCAGTAGTGAAGGTATATTCTCACCTTTGCCTTCTGTCCCTTTTTCTAAATTCCTGAATATAATCCCAGATCTGGTTGCTGCTACAGAGCACACACCATCACCACCGGGTTCCCTACCTAGCTTGGTTGTCTCCTGAAGGCCTTTTCCTAGGGCTTCCCCCAATCTCTGCCTCTGGGAAGGGCTCAAGTCAAAAGACCTGGTTCTAGACTTGTCTTATTCACCAGAAAACACAGAACCTAGTACTGCTGATGTTTAAAGGTTAGCAGAGTTGATTAAATGATGATTATTAAATGATGATTAAATGATCCTTGAAGACCAAGGGCTAGGAGCCTAGGTGCTGTCCAATCTCTTGGTGCTGAAAAGGGCATTGAAGTGCCATACATTTCTCCTCTTGCATTTCTTAGCACCACTGCTCCCCACATACGCAAAAAGGAAGAGACACACTAATTTTGTTGTAGTTTTGCTTAACATTTTCTTGGTAACCCACCTATTTCCTCAAAAAATGTTGAGACTGATTATGGGAAAAGCGAAGGAAATATAAAGAACAAAGCCAAGTTTGGGGCCTGGGGGAAGAGGAGGGAAATTTATACAAGAAAATGTGAACTGAGAGGAACTGTGTAGTAGAATCAAAACTGAGCACCTGGCAGCCAAGGCAAAAAAGAGTATATTGGATCCCCAGACAAAAGGAGTGTGTCAGATCAGCTGGCAAGTGAATTTACACTCAGTTCTAAAAAGACTATCTCTTGAGTCTCTGTGTAAGATAAAATGAACCCTTATATTGTTTCAATAAAGAAAACCATCTTCACTGGATGTGTTCTCTCCTCCATGAGGACCAACAAAGCACAAGCAAACTGAAATTAAATTTTTATTCTGTGAGAACATTTCTATGAAATATTAACAAATATTTCTCAAAGCCAAGTTAAAAAGAAAAAAAAGATTAACTTAATTTAAAAACTGCATTTTATTTAATATAATATATAAAAATAGTACAATTTTACATCCAATCAGTATAAAATTATTGCTACATTACTTTGGGAGTGCAAAGTCTTCTAAATTCTTGAGCTGTTTTACATTTGTGGCAGATGTCAGTTCAGAATGGTCACATTTCACATGCTCAAGAGCCTTATTACCAGGTGGGTATATTATAGTACTGTAAAGCATTGTAGCATTATAGCCAGAGCATATAGTTTTCTGGTGAGCTAACTGATGTAGAAGTAAAAATAATTTATTATAAAGGTACATTCTTAAGTAGCTCCATCATATATGATGTATTAAATTTTAATTATATTTGATTTAATAATAAAAGTATGGACTTAAAAGAGAAGTAAAACTAATATTGTTTTTATCTTTGCTAATTTTTAAACTATTGTGAGGCAAATTGATTTGTGTAATTGAATCTGACACCCTCTTTCCACTGCATCTTTGATATAATGGATATTAAAAAATATAGCAAAGTGGAATAGGGTTGTTACTTTTTTTTCAAGTTCTTCCCTTGGGCAAATTCTTCAAGAATATATTTCTGAGATCCACTACCAGAGTTTCAGAACTGATGATGAGAGAATTTCTGATAAGCATTCTGATATTACAAACCTCAATCTAACACTTCCCTCCACCCCAAGACATACTTTGAGAAATGGGTGTACTGGTTAAAAGGAGGTAATTGAGGCAGAAGGAAGTGGGTGCATTTTTAAGGGATATAGAAAATGCAATTAGTGACCAAGTAGCGTTGGCTTCACAGTCTGGGGTTTGCATTCCAATTTGATCATTTACAACCTGTGTGATGTTAGGCAACTTACTTATTTTCTCTTTGCCTCAGTTTCCCCATCTGTAAAAAATAGGATAATAATATACCTACCTTGGAATTCTTTTATTTTATGAAGAATAATGCGATGATTCACAGACAAAGCTGGACAAAGACAAAGCTAAATAAAATGCATAGAGTTAGTGAGTTTTAAGAATGCTAATTTGTATGCTAAGTACATTTCTCGATAGGTTCCTAGCTTCAATTCTCATATTAAAATCTAGAAAATAAAGTAAAAAATATTCCAATAATTTACTTTGTCCCTGTACTAACAGATGAGGATAGCCTTACTGAAGACAGGAGTGACTTGAAGGTGTCCCCCACGATGGGCAAGAGGAAGAAACGGCGGCACAGGTACAGGGTTAACCACTCTTCCTGACCTTTCGTTAGGACACATCTGAAAGTGTATGATCTTGGGTTGTAGCAGGTCCGGGGGCCTCCTGGTTGGCAGCAGGAAGGTACACAGGTCATTCTGGGAAGGATACTTCTACTATTCCCAGATGGGTACAGGACAATCTGTGTTATTTTAAGCATACAACTTTGTAGGCCTTTAAAGTGAATTGACTAAAATGAGTTGATGGAATTCACCGAGGAGGAAAAAAACTACCAAACTCTGTTTTGTTTGAACTAAACTTCTCGACCTTCCAGAGGCTAATCAATCAGAAGTGTGGTGTCCAGTTATCACAAGATGACGTTTTAGGGTCTGGAAAATTGGGGGGTCCTCTAAGGTGGGAAAGCCTGGCAGCTTCTAGTAGACATGTGCTTATGGGTGCATGTTGGATCTCCCTGCAGGACTGTTTTCACGGCCCACCAGCTAGAAGAGCTGGAGAAGGCGTTCAGTGAGGCCCACTACCCTGATGTGTATGCCCGGGAAATGCTGGCTGTGAAAACTGAGCTCCCTGAAGACCGAATTCAGGTGCCTAAGGTCCCCCAACTTGTTGATCTTCCCAATGATACCAGGATCAGCATGTAATTCTTATGTAGAGAGACTCAACCCACAGAAATCCCTAAACAGTAATACTTTTCAACACACTGAGAGCCACCTAGCTCAGATCTGACATTACCAGCCTCTTCCTTTATGCTTATTCCAAGATGATAACTCCTGTTTTATTACATTATTTTTTAAAAAATAACACAACAATGTGCTGCAACTATAAGCTAAGTAAAGATATATCAATGGGGAGAAAAGACAGTAGGGTGGAATGAGGCTTTGAGTGGTGAACATAATATAGTATATATAAGTATTGATTTATAATGTTGCATACTTGAAACCTACAGAATAAGATCAATATTACTTTAATAATAATAATAATAAAATCCCTTCACTGAAAACCCTGAAAGAAACTAGTATAAATAGCCTGTGGTAACTATTTTATTGCATACATTATTGCCATGCTATATACATCTGGCTCTGAATACACACATACAGTATTTTGTTCTTTATATTTACAAAATGTTATCATGTTATTCTACATAACATCTTTGCTAACAAGACATGGGCATTTCTCCAGGTCAGAATACATGCCACCAACTTACTCCTTATAAACAGCTAAACATCTGTTATTCAGTTACTAAGGTAATGTTTTACATGAGAAGTATCAGCAGCAATCCAACAATTTGAGATGTGAAGGGGCCATTTCTGGAGTGAATTCTTTCTGATCAAGAAAAATCAGAAACATTAGAGCTGGCTTCTTTACACAATGTGAAAGCAAATCCTTTTATTTAATCTTTTTATAACCTGTCTATAGAAAACTGCAGTGGAGGCCAGTCACAGATTATCCCCACAGCACGTCCCTATAACTGTTAATCTCCGGCCCTGCCCCAGAAGCCATCTTCCTCCAAACTGTGATCCCTGACCACTGGCATCTGATGGCCACAAACAGAAGCGAAAGATGAGCTCAGCCTTCACGGTCTGAATCCTAGAAGCTTCCCCGAGGATGGCTAGTGTGCCTTTTCTACAACTCTCATCCAGGGTCCCCTTGAAGCCTCCATGCTCACGTGTCTTCACTTGTATGTTCCCCTGACTCAAACCAGGTGTGGTTTCAAAATCGGAGGGCCAAGTGGCGGAAGCGCGAGAAGCGCTGGGGCGGCAGCAGCGTGATGGCGGAGTACGGGCTCTATGGGGCCATGGTCCGACACTGCATCCCACCCCCAGACTCCATTCTCAACTCCGAGAAAGGCATAGCGGGCTCCTGTGCACCCTGGCTTCTGGGTAAGGAAGGCACTGTGCCCCAGCAGAAGCCTGGAAATGGTGTTTGTGTGTGCGGGAAGGGGGCGCACATGTTGGGTGGCCATTTGCAAAGGGAGCAAGGTAAAACCACTTAGTCTCAGGGAAGAATATCACATCTGATTTCCAAGTATTATAATAACAAGTGCCACCAGGTCATAGGCCTTACTTGTCATTGCAACTGTAGGCAATGTGTCTGCACAGGCCTTGGTTTGGAGAATGTCATGATACACTCACATAAGTGAACTATGTCTCCAAAATAGTGAGTGCTAAGAATTTTGGGGAACTATGTAATTGAGTGCTCATGATTCTAGAAACAGGGCCAGTGAACAGCAGTGACACCTGGAGATGATGAACCCATGCATATCGGAGTAAAGAGGTCTGACTCCATGTCCTTGTTGGGTCATTAACAACCTGCCTGGTAGCTTTTCTGTTGCCTAGATCTTTTTTTTTTTTTTTGATGCTAGAAGAATTCATAGTGAAGAGGCCCAACCTTTGGAGCAGGACACTATGGGTTTTCTGTTTGTGGATACCGGATACCAGTGGACAGGAATCACAGTTTGGGGGAAGATGGCATCTGGGGCAGGGTCAGAAATTAGAATGGGGAATAAGGGCAATATTTTAGGTTGGGTAGAGGAGGGTCTGGGTAGGCAATTTTTTTTTTTGTATTTTTCCCTATTTGACACTCTGCTGGGGTGGGACATGCCAGTTTTATCTACGTTCTTGACTTTGCCATCAAATATTGATGAGACAGAGAGAATTGGGAGCAGGAACCGGGGCTACATCTCTGAACTTACACAAGCAGGTTTGGGCAGTTCCGGCTGGCATCTGTACATTCTATCTTCCAGAGAACTGGAAGTCTGGATTTTTATGAGCAAACTCCTGATTAAAACATGTTGGTAGCAAATAAATTTCAATCCCCTGTTATCCAAACAAGCCCTCTTGGCTGGTAGACCCTACATTTCAATTCTTTTTTTTTTTTTTTTAAAGATTTATTTATTTATTCATACAGAACTGGGGTACAGGCCAGAGGCTCAGGGGCGGTGAGAGGCTTCACCAGAGACAGAGTGGGGAGCAGAACAGGCAGATTGACGAAGTACACTGCTGAGGGGAGCAGCGGGCGGGTCAGGAGAGGTCTGCCACGCCATGTGGTCACCTCCGGGGCAGGCGGCAGGCGGGAATCGAACTCATGCGGAAGTGGCTTCAGATTCTCAGTGCTGTGCTTTAACCCGCTGCGCCACCAGGGAGGGCCCACATTTCAATTCTTAATGTGAGTCGTTAGCTAAATGGATCTCCTGGAGGCTCTGGAGACAAGAACAAGTCTAGTGGGATTTAGAGAACACTGCAAAGGCAAGTCTAGTGGGATTTAGAGAACACTGATGTGAAAAAGTTTACTTAATAGCAGAATTTATAGATATTTCTTTTTCTTTTTTTTTCTGCAAGGGATGCATAAAAAATCCGCAGAGATGATAAGGAAACCAGGAAGTGAAGAAAATCTGACAAGATTCTGGGTCTCCGACCACCACAAGGAGGCGTCTAGCCTAAGTCAGGCAGGACTCCAGAATGGCTCAGAAGGAACCAGCCCTGAGAATGACCTGGAAGCTGTGGCCATTGACCTCTCCAGTTCCACATGGAAAGAGAGCAAGAGCCTGCAGCAGCATGCTGGTGCTCCAGAATGCTCAGATTCCCAGGGGCTGGAGCGGTTCCCATCAGGGAAGGTGGGAGCTTCGTGAAGTCTGCAGATCCCACCTTCAAAGAAGGGAAATGTGAACAATCCTCACTAGCATTTTTTTTTTCTCCAAAAGGCAAAAGTTTTGTGAGACAAATACACTTGGTTGGATTGTCTTTTTATGGTGTAAGAATAAAATGCAACATCAATTGCTTTAAGAAACCAGAAGGGTGGCTTAGAAAAAACTCCATTTTATTTTAGAATGGATAGCTTTTCTCAAGACACATTACAGCAGTTCATTTGTCATGAAATTATGATTTTCTTTTGTAGAACTTGAAGAGAGAGGATATTAAAGTTCAAACGGCATATGTGAGATTTGGTTCAATATTCTGTGTAGATTATTAATGAATAGATTAGGTCTGATGTCCTCATTCTGATTTGAATATAGGGAATTGTTTCCCTTCCAGAGAATCAAATGTCTTCAAGTATAGTGAAGGTCCTATCTAGATAGATGACATATCTTTATCTTGAACTTGGCCTTGGCTATTTCAGTTTTCAATTATTTAGCAATAACGTTGTGTTACTTGGTAGACTATGCATATGGGGACTCATAAAGAACAAAGAAAGCCATACTTTCCCCTTTCTGATGTATGCGGGGCCATATTTAAACAGTTGCTGCCAATCTCTAAATGCTGTTTTAAGGTCAGACCAGGCTTCTTGGTCTTTTAAAATTTACATTTGAAAGCACTTTCATGTCTTGATTTCTGAATGTTTCCTTTCCTTTGGCACTTATTTATTATTTAAAAATAAATTTTGTGTGGTGTGTTTGCTTCTTATGGCACTGCTTCTGCTATATTATCTGACCAGGGTTCTTGTTAACCCTTTTCAATCTCAAAAAGTCTGAAGACTTGCTTTCAGCACTGATTTTGTGCTGCTTTGTAATCTCCTGTGGGGCAGATGTTGTGTTTATCTTTTGGAGTTCAAAATCAAGAGCACTTATACCTTCCTGAAGGGGAACGAGTTGATTAAAGAGGCAGTGTTCACAGAGAATGGGAGGCAGGGGGAGGCTGCTCCCTTAAAGAATTTCCAGTGGAGATCTGCAAGCCAGGCTTGTTTCTCCTGTCTGCATGAGAAAACAGATTCCTTTTTTTGGCACATTTTTTTCTCCTCTTATGCTGGTTCCACACACACACTACTGTGAAATATCAATGTCACTCATTCCTTTCTTTAGCAGCAAAACATGATGGAGCTTGCCTCTTTTATTCATCCTGACTAGAAGAATATTAGAGATGATATCTGAGACTGAATGGTGAAAGAGTAGGTTTTTGCTAAAAATTCTGCATGTTTTCCTTCTATCTTTCCTCTTTTAGAGTAGACCAGGCTTTGAGCTAGTCCAGCACGTGTTGTGGATGATGTCCTGCCTCTCAGATTCAGTTATCAGATTTTCTCCCTTAGTTTATCAGGAGGTAGTTTAGGGTAGATAGCTAGCAATCTATGCAACTTCTACACATCACACTCATAAAATAAAATATTATGCAGTCACTAAAATGATAACAATAAGGTATATTTATGTGAAAAGATATTTATGAAATGTTACTGAGTGAGCCACCCCTAAAGAAGACTAGAAGAAATAGATATGTGAAACAATAAAAATGAAATAAACATAACTGGTTGCATAGAAGTATACACAACTGGCTACATTTCTATGCAACATTATAAAAAGAATGGAGAAAATAAGAAGAGGCAAAAGAGAAAGGGACTAGAGCCAGCAATAGAGGACATTTTAAATGTAAAATACTATTCACAAATGGATATATTTCCACACACACACCCACAAAAAAACACATATTACTAACATGGGTCCAGAATAAGTATGAAATAGAGAGATCAATGACCAAGAAAGTCATAAAACAAGTATACTATTAAATGATGCTGCAGTGAGGTGGAATTACATGTGAATTCTTGGCTGTTAAAGGAAAAGTTCATTTTTATAGCATATGAGTTGGTCTTGGCTGTAGAAAAAGGTAAAAAGATTTATAACTCTAACAGAACCCTGACTCTAAAACCCAACAAAGAGAGACCAAACCTTTCCCTTAAAACTGTAAATATCTCCATTAATGGGAATGTGAAATTCCTAAATAAAGTCCAATGTTTAGAATTCAACAATGTACTGAAAATGATCTTGGGCTAAAAAGCCTACCCAGTGAATGCAAGGAAAACTTAATCTTACAAAAGGAAACTTTTTATATATTTTATTAACCACTCAAACTTTTTATCTTAACATATGTTGGAAAACATTCAATAAATACCTATTCTTTTTTTTTTTAATCTTTAGAAACTAGGAATAGAAGATGATTATTTCAAAATAGCGACTTTTTCTCTTGAATCTTACAGGCACTTTCATTTTTTCAAAATAACTTTAAACATTGAAATATGATTGATAGATAACATCTACTATATATAACATTATATATAGCTATATATGTAGTCATAGATATAATTTCAAATGATTTAATATTTATATACATTGAGAAATGAACATCACCATAGTTAGCATTTGTCATCATTTGTAGTTCCTTTTTTTTCTTGTGATGAAACTTCTAAGATCACTCTCTCTTTATTCATTTTTCAAAATTGAAATACCTTTGTTTCACTGCCTTGTTAGTGTTTTGACAGTATAGGACTCCCCCTGTCAGGTGCCTCATGTAGCTCTCCCACTGCCACAACAGCCCTAGTTGCGGCCTTAATTCCATTGTGCTCTCCCCTACTCATTGCTTCCCCACTTCTTCTGGATGCCTCCAGGTCTACTCTCTCAACAATTGTCAAAAATGACATTACTGTTTTTAATTACAATCACCTTCTGGACATGCCACCTCCATGGTTAATTTATTTTATAATTGGAATCTCATACCTTTTGACCACTTTCACCATTTGGCCGACTCCCCAGCCCCTGCCTCTGGCAACCACAAATTTGTTCTCTTACCTGTGAGTTAATTTTTTCTTCTTAGGGTCTACATTTATGTGATGTCATGTGGTGTTCTCTCTCTGAGTCAATTCACTTAGCTTAATGTCCTTAAGGTCTACTCATGCTGTCACAAAAAGGTAGGAGTTTCTTCTTTCTATGAATAATAACAGGTTACTTTATATTTAACAAGACACTTAGCCATGTCTTGGCTCTTGTGAGTAATACTACAATGAACATGGAGGTAAAGATCTCTTCAAGTTAGTGTTTTCATTTCCTTTGGATAAATATCAAGAAGTGTAAATTCTGGGGCAAATAGTAATGTGACTTTTAATTTTCCATATTGGCTGCACCAATTCACAGTTCTACTGATTAAAAGGGTTTCTTTCTCCTCCACATTTCCTAAACAATAGTGTATTTTTTCTTTTTTGGTCTTTTTGATAATAATCATTCTTCCCTATGTGAGGTAATATCTCACTGTGGTTTTGATTTGCATTTCCCTGATGGTTAATGATGTTGAACAGCTTTTTAAATACTAGAAAGAAAAAAGAAAAATGCTGGATTTGGACATTTTTTGTCTTTGGAAAAATGTCTGTTTAGCTCCTCTGACCATTTTTTTTCTTTTTTATGTTATTAATACATATTTTACATTATTCTTCATTTTGTACATTTTTCCGTCTCAGTTGTAATCCCTGTGGACTTCCCACCACCAATTCACTCATGTGCCATCACCACAGTCCCATGTGCTCTTCCCACCCCAATTTTAATCTTGTTTCCCTCTTCTCCCCATAGAATGTCTTTGGCTTATAGTTGTTAGTCAATGTTCTTTTTAACATTATATATATATATATGTATATGTATATGTATGTATATAATGTATGTATATATGTATATATACGTACTTTGTATATACATACTTTATATATAAAGCACATATATATAATATATATAAATGTGTATGTACTTTATATATATGTGTGAGTATATATATATATATATATATATATTTCCCCCTGATCCCTTATACTCCTGCTATGAGTGAAACAATCCAGCATTTTTCTTTTTTCTTTCTGGCTTATTTCAATAAGCATGATCTTTTCCACTTCCATCCATGTTGCCATAAATGGCATGAGTTTGTCTTTTTTATTGCTGTGCAATATTCTATTGTGTATATATACCACATCTTCTTGATCCAATTATCTATTTTTGGGCACTTGAGTTGATTCCACATTTTTCCTATTGTAAACAGGGCAACAATAAACATAGGGGTGCAGGTGTCTTTTTGAATTATTTTGTGTCATTTGGATAGATACCTAGGAGTGGAATCTCTGGATCATAGGGAAGCTCCAATTTTAGTAGTTTGAGAAAACTCCACACAGCTTTCCATGGTGGTTATACAGGTTTGCATTCCCTCCGGAGTACAGGAGAATTTCTTTTCCTCCACACCCTCACCAGCATTTATTATTGCTTGTTATTTTTTTAAAATATGTGTCATTCTCACCTGTGTGAGGTGGTACCTCATTGTAGTTTTGATTTGCATTTCCCTTATTAAAAGTGATGCTGGGCCCTCCCTGGTGGCGCAGTGGGTTAGAGCACAGCACTAAGAAGCTTAAGCCACTTCTGCATGAGTTTGATTCCCGCCTTCCCGGGATGAGGAGATCCACATGGCGTGGCAGACCCCTCCTGACCCGCCCGCTGCTCCCCTCAGCAGCGTACCTCATCGATCTGCCTGTTCTGTTCCCTGCTCTGTCTCTGGTGAATCCTCTCACCCACCGCACCTCTGGCCTATACCCCAGTTCTGTATGAATAAATAAATCTTTTTTTTTAAATGATGCTTAACATTTTTTTTTGTTATTCTCTAATTGCTCTAAGAGCTTTCATTTTTTTTTTTTTTTTGTTATTCTCTAATTGCTCTAAGAGCTTTCATTTTTTTTTTAAGATTTATTTATTTATTTACAGAACTGGGTTACAGGCCAGAGGTGCAGGGGCATTGAGAGGCTTCACCAGAGACAGAGTGGGGAGCAGAACAAGCAGATCAACGAAGTACACTGCTGAGGGGAGCAGCGGGCAGGTAGGAAGAGGTCTGCCACGCCATGTGGTCT